AACATCTTTTATGAAGCTTAAAACGTGTTTTGTAAAGACAGGTCATGTGCATCCAACAGTCTCATAGCATGGGACAGCTGAACAACCTGACGGTACAGATATATACCGGTTTACATTATTTTGTAGCAGCTGCACATACGTTCGAGTTCGTTCATATTTAATTTGGTTAAACTGTTTGATTAACTTATTTTTCTGAGTCATCTGTAAAGCAATAACTTGTATGTACTATTAGCTTTACTTAATGTTTGGTTTGTATGAGCTGGTACGACTGAAGATTGCTTACTGCCTACGCTGGTATCACTAGACGTATGTCGAACATTGGATTTCATATTATGGAGTTCCTGCTAATATTACAACCGATAGGGGGGCTCAACTCGAAAGACCCATTCCAACAACTCATAGAACTCCTCGGAATCAAAAGTATTCGCATAACATCCTACCACCCGATGGCGAATGGTATGGTAGAGAGACTACACCGTCAACTTAAATACTTCCTTACAAGTGTTATTAACAACGATGACTGGGCCAACAAGCTTCCATCAGTAATGTTGAGTTTATGATCGACAGTTATACAAGACACAGGATGTTGTCTTGGAGAATTGATTTATGGAACTACTCTACGTCTGCCAGGAGAGTTGTTCATCTCAGGTAAGAGTGTTCCAAATGGTATAGCATCGTCTAAAAAACATATGAGTGATCTAAGAATAATGCTTCCGAAGAAAAATAAACATCTAGTATATATTCCAAAGCAAATGAACGACAGTACCCATGTGTTTATCAGAAGGGATAGTGTGCGACGTCCCTTACAATCGACCGACGTTGATTAATTTCAAGTGATCAGGAGAAACAATAAAAATATCACGGTAGATAATGCTGGCAAAACAGATGTGATTAGTATCGACCGAGTCAAAGAAGCTATTGTCCAAGATGATAAACAGCACGAATCCTTCGAAATCCATTGAACCACCGAAACGCAAGTTTAAACCACCAGCGACAGCAACGCAGAAAGGCGAAGAAAGTTCGTTAATGACTAGATGAGGACAAAGAGTCCGATATATAGTTACGGTTCTGGACTGATAATATCTTTCCCTTCTTCGAATATAATATTTTTCTTCTCTATGAACGTCGAAAATCTTTAACTTATCTATTATTAGATGCGATATATTTTGTGTATCCCGATGTTAAGATGTTATAACTTGAAAACGTCGTATTCTTTCGATCTTTTATTAACTTATTTAACTTATTTTCTAGAGTCATTTGTACAGCAATAAGTTATATGTTTACTTACTTACTTACACCTGTCACCCCCAATGGAGCATAGGCCGCCAACCAGTTTTCTCCTACCAACTCTGTCCTAGGCTCAAAATTCCAATTCTGTCCAATTTTTGTTCATTCTTCTCATATCTTTCTCTATTTCTCTGCGTATTTGTTCCTTGGCCTTCCTCTTTTCCTTTTTCCTTGACGGTTGCATGTGAGGGCTTGTCTTGTGACACAGTTGAGTGCTTTTAGCAGCGTATGTCTCATCCACTTCCACCGCTTCTTCCTGACTTCCTCCTCCACTGGAATCTGGTTTGTTCTCTCCCACAGTTCGTTGTTGCTGATGATGTCTGGCCAACGAATACGAAGTATTTTGCTTAGATAACTGTTCATAAATACTTGTATCCTGTGGATGACGGCTCTGATATTTCTCCAAGTTTCCGCTCCATACAGTAGAACTCTCTTGACATTTGTATTGAAAAACCTGATTTTGGGGTTGATTGATAGTTGTTTGGAGTTGCAGATGTTGTTCGATCGTTGCAGTGCAGCCGTCGATTTGCAGATCTGCGCACTCACATCTGCATCGGATCCGCCTTGATTGTCGATGATGCTGCCCAAATCTATAAAGATTTTTACCTCCTCCAAGGCATCCTAATCAAGAGTGATTTGGTTGGTGCATATTGTGTTGTATCGAAGAATCTTTCTTTTCCGTCCGTTTATCTTGAGACCCACTACCTCTAAGGTTGCTGCTTCACTGATTGTCCTCTCTTTCACTTGTTGTTGAGTGTGTGATAGAAGTGCTAGATTATCTGCGAAGTCCAGATCGTCCCGCTGCATCCTAGCTGTCAAATGTATACCGTGCTTCAGTCGATCACCAGGAGAAAGAGAAAGGGTGAGAGTAAAGTATCTTGCCTGACACCGGTCCACAGCTCGAACGGGTCTGTTAGCTGTCCTTTGTGTACGATTTTGCAGTTGAATCCATCATAGGAACTCCATATGATGTTCAGTATCTTCTCTGACATGCCGTAGTGTCGAAGAAGCCTTCATGGTGTTGTTCTGTCCATGCTATTTAATGCTTTCTCGCAGTCAATGAAGTTGATGAGAAGGGGTGAAATCCATTCATTTGATTGTTCCAAAATGATCCGTAATGTTGCAAGTTGGTCGGTACACGACCGATACTTACGAAATCCAGCCTGTTGATCATGAAGTTGGGTGTCTACGAAGTCTTTCATTCTGTTTAACAATACCCTGTTGAAGACTTTGCCTAGTATTGCTAGAAGAGTGATGCCTCTGTAGCTCTCATATTTGGTGTGATCGCATTTCTTTAGTATTTTGATGAGGTATCCTTGTTTCCAGTCTATCGGTACTTGTTGCTTTAGGGGTGCACAAAGTGATGAGTCAAACCACCACATGTCTGTATATTTACGAAAGAAGACTAAGGAGTAGGCTGTTAGAAATCAGGAATATGTGCCACCAGATTGATTTGAAGATCATAATCCCAGATGAAAAATGGCTCTCCCCTGACGCTGCAGACGATGAAGTGAGCTTGCAAGGCATGATAACCTTCTAGTGCGGTAGGGTACACCAGACAGGAGGCTGGATGGTTATGTATATTAACAGCAACTGATCTACCCCTTTTTTGTCTCTGAAACAACGTAGAGAATGGAAAGTTTCGCACAAAGTTAAATAGATTGTTCGCGAGTTATTGGATCTCGACATTGAGTGTTTCACAGGAGACCATCTTAGGTTCACTTCTCTTTCTAATATTTGATGATGATCTGTTAGACAAATGTAGCTTGGCGGCATTGATCTACTCGGATGCTTAGAAGAATTGGGGGTCCATAAGAAGTGTAAAGGATTTAACTGAGTTTCAGCACAACCTTACATCTGCTGAGGAGTGAGCATTAAAAATTAAAAAAAAAACCATTCGAACCGCACACCACGAATATTCTGCTCCGTGTGACACAAACGACTTACTGCCTCATAAGAAGCCCGCTCCCAAATGTCTCCTCAAAGCGCTACCTCGGTCGGATAACCAGTGAAAGCTGAGACACCAGTTTGAACTACATAGGTTTCGCAATAAAAGCTAGTTCATCTCTTCGCTTTATGCGATGACAAATTGGTACTTTAACCTCAGAATTATTCTTAGTGTTGTTTAAGACACTCACGCCCACACCTTGATGTTCACAGCGTCATCGTACCTTCTCTCTTAAAAGGAGACGTGAATCCCTTGAATTGAGTGCAGAGACAAGCAAACAATTGGTGATATGGTTGAAGAATAAACCTTGGGATGATAGACTTGAGCACTCGGGACTATTCTCTCTGAGTTGCAAAAGAATAAGAGGTGATATGTTAATGGCGTAAAATATATTAGACACGCCAAATCATTTTAACATGTTCATCCTACCTAAGCATAATCACCAAGCCGCTCGAAGTAATCCTCAAAATACTGCGCATCAAAAAGCATGCACTTAGGTTCATGTAAACTTCTCTTTTGAAAGTTGTTGAAACTTGAAATGCTCTCCCAGCCAGGGGACTGCAGACTTCTCCATAGATGGCTTCAAGAAGAGACTTGATGAACGCGTACTCACATACGGATTATCATCTTCTTTGTGGACCAGCTGTTCCTAATACATGTATGGGAACTTTGTAGTTGTTTTTATTTCTATTTCGTCAAATCATTTAGTTAATCTATCTCGCTTATTATCATTTCCGTGTACTCTTTCATATATGGTAGCCGGTACCTCACTAGTTTTGTGGCGGTCGTAATTCGATATGTCCTCAGATTTCGTATGTTGCTGGTCCAGACAACCGGTAATAAATAACGCCTCACAGTTCATAAATCATACAAACTGTAGAATGCTTTTATTTGTCGCACAACAAACAGAACAACCAAGCCACATACACACCAAGAAAAATGCGATATGCGGGTGTCGAGGAGCAAGAAAGAAAACAAGTGAGCGAATTAACGAATGAATAAAATAGGAATAAAATGTACATATATATACATAGAAAAATGAATGAGTCATCGGAATATTTAAGATTAAAGCTAATAGAATGAATATGTTTGTAGGTGGTAAACAGTATTTAATTATACATGTTCAGACGATCGTGAAAATGGTGCAGCACAGTGGTACAGATTCGTTATTGCTGTACGAAAGACTGAGTTAAGTAAGTTAATCAAAAGGACTTAACCTACTTAAATATGAACAAAATCATATGTATGTGAAGGTACTACACATCTTTAAACTTCTGTCCTCTCAAACAATCTGCACTACGAATAGTTAAGCTTATTTGTAAATTTATTTACTTAGTTCTGGAATCTTTTTCTTATTAGCATTTGACTTTACTCTTTATTATTCTCCACATTGCAACTAATTGATATCTGGTCTGGTAATGTGATAGTTGCTTGTATTCAGAAACCCTACTGCCATGAAACAAACGTACTCATCCAAATCACGAGATAAACAAACTCAGAGAAAACTGTCTGCTGGCTAGAATTAGTACAGTCGAGCAGCTTGACAATCATCCACTGGATACTACTGACTGCCTGGGACCGTATCGAAAGAATAGGAATCAAGAGTAAAGAAATCAACTGGTTTATACTAGCTAGCGAAGAAAGATATACGAAATGTTGGATCCATATATTGATAAACCACTAACAAAAATGATCAAAATAATTCTTTCATTAACAAATAATTTCATATTTATTTCTTGTCAACAGAATTTATGAATTAAAGTGTAGTACATTAGGATGAGAATAGTTATCAATAAATAATGTTTTCAAAAAAACAAACACACATATAGTTGAATTTTTTATATCAAGGACAAAAGAACTATTAGTGCAATGATGAAGAATATTAGTTATGTAAACGACTCAACAATAGCGGATTCTTTATGATGATTCAGTTAAAATTTCGAGACTTTAAGGCTGAGAAATATTCTGAAAAAGGAAACCATATAATTAGTGTTTAACAGTAAATACTTCATTCATTCTACATTGCTTTAAGCATTTGTAAACGAACAGAACTGAACAAATCGTGACACATTTTGCACATTCACAACATCATTATCAAATCATCGTTCAGAACATTAATGACAAGATTGACAGTGAATATAGCAGAACGTACACTAACCGAACTAGTTGATACGTTCTAAATTAAACGAGCGCGGATACCAGTGTTGTCAACCAATATCTAAATATGCTAAGAAGAATACCTGACGTGCACAGCGATTCACAGTGAGCTAACCAAAAGCCATTGCATAATGCCTAACCATACTTCACAATATCGTCAGCCTCAATGACTGTCACTTTGTGTGCGATTGTGTGTCACTTTCAGACGCCTACACTCACTCAATGAAATGAAACACTGAAATAAGTACATTATATTATAAGTACATTATGCCAAATATAATATCACGAGGAAATAAATGTTTTTCAACACATCTACTCATCAATAAATCCTCTTGTGTTCTATGAACATTGAAAATTATTCAAATAAAGGTTTTTGACAGAAATCTGTTAAATATAATTAGTACTTACTGTTTTATAACATTCATTTTCTAACCATTTTAGTGTGTGAATATCTCCACCATTGCTACATTTCTCAATAGCTGAACACCAATAACATCGTATTCTTTCTCTGCTTGAGTCAAAGCATTGTTCCGGTGAATTTTGTTTGGAACAAAATTCTGTAGAAACAATACGACAACCGTGATTCAAGTTATTGAACATCTATGAAACTAAAAATTAATATGCCTATTTATATTTATCATTATTTAAAAACTAGTGCACTAAGTCACACACGGTACGTCGATATCGTGTATATGTCCGGCTTAGTTTGATCGATGATAGTTCCTTCAACATGACCGATCTCCACCTGGCATTTATAGGATATTGATATGATTGGGTAAAGGGTTCAGAAATTCGGTCTCTGATGAAAAGTTTTACGAAATATATCGAATGTTTCTGTGATTTATCACCACATGGAAATTCAATATAACATTTAATCGATTCAACCGGCATAGAACTGATTATCTTTATAAAATTCTCAACCAACTGTTATTTGATTATCTCTAATCCATTGTGATGATGTTGATTGTGTAGAAGGGAAGAATTCAAAACCGATAAAGAATATTACCGAATGATTCTAAATACTCAATAATGAGAAGAAATGTAACTATTAATAGTAAAGAATATTTATATCAACTGAGAGATCTACGTGTCTCTGTGATTTGTGGTCAGCCATTATAAAATTAAATGTTAAATGAGTCTAATATTTATAGAGCTATGAAAAAGTAACCTACTTGGCATTGGTCGATACTCCACTAATGTTCCAGATTTGAAGAGGTAGTTAGGAACATCGATTATACTGTATGGTATAAATCGATAAGTATCTTTGAAGTAGGAAAACAAAACACTGATAAATTTTATTGACCTTGGTTTTAGAGATGACGGAAATTTTTTATCAGCGAATCAGACAAAATCTTTGTTGGCAATTTAACATGGAATTTGCAGAATGAAATAAGAAGGTCTGTCTATTTCATTTTATCCAATACAAAGTGACATTTCAACGTTGACCTAACTGTACAAACATTAACTGGAATGTTCATTGTACAGACATTATTGTTTGGAATGTATTTTTGTGAGACAATCAGTGTGAAAAGTGCGAATGTTCATTGAGCATGGTTGAACAGACAAAATCTATTGACTAGTATACATGTGATTTCCCTTCATCTTATTGATTTTTAAACGTAGCTGGCTGAGTGTGACTGCTTGTAGTTGTGTGGATTAATATACAGCGTTTGGCTTACTCTGGTTCCCGTGTATTTGGTGTTACGTGATCTAGTCTCTGTGAACAGAGTGCCATTGGAGTATCCAATCCATTTGTTAGTTTAAACAACTCGGTCACCTAGAACAGTCTCGATTTATCTCAGTATTTTATTATCGTAGTAATATCATGAGAGGAAATAATTTCCAATGCTACTGTTATAACAGTTTTGTCTTCCGTTACCCATACTTTAGCAACTATTAAACAATGAGATAATATCTCGTTGGTTTTACTCATCAGTGGGTTGATATATGTGACTCATATTTGTGTGTACTTGTTAATCTCCATTCGAATTTCAAATACATACTCAAATTCTAGGTCATATGAAACAGAAACTGAAAACAACACCTCAACTTATCACTATTAAATATTAACATATCAGCGAATTTAGAACATGGTACTACAATGATCGAGTATTCAAATTTCGTTGTTTTACGATCATGCGTGAAGATTTATAATTAGTCGATAGTTATGTTGGAAGTTGGGCAATCACGTGAGAAAGTAATGTCAGCTAGCTCAAACTGAGTTCTCTACCAACAAACTTGTCTTGTCACTTTGTCACCAGCTGTATTCCAGAATTAAGTGGAAGATTGGGAGACAGTTGTGAATTCTCAAACTGATAAACAAACAAATCACATGTACATTTTGGATTGAGATCAGCATGGTTTGAACCAGTTTGTCACTCAGTGAAAACATTGAATTCAATCAACCTAGTTGAAATATTTTCTTATTCGAGGTGATCGAAAATACGAATTCAGAATAAGGCTAATTTGTTTGACACACAAACTAATTGACAAACATTAATGCGTAGTCACTTTCACCAGCAATATTCATTGAAGCAAACTGTATCTGCTCTTCAGGTGTATTTTTAGTTTGAAACGCATAACTAATGTGTGCTGAGGTTAGGTTAACTAGCGGCTGATCAAGCAGATAACTATACGTCGAAACAATATTAAATTCTTTCAATTAATACTTACTGAGTGTTTTATTTTTACACTTGAGTTCATTTATAATCCGTGAACGAGTTTTTCTTCCGCTTATGTCCTTAGGTATCTGAATAAAAGTTATGGAAATTTTAGTTAACATCTATTAAAAGCAAATCTCTTCTATTGTAAACACATTTCTATCCATAGTGTTGGAATGACTTAACAATTTCGTACAAAAATGTTGATTACAGAATCAACATGGCATACTTAGAATGACTCTTCCACGGTGTGGGCAGCCGGGAAGTGACAACCGCCCTCATACCCATAACAGCACGCGAGACCAAATTGGTCAAAATCAAATCCTTCCTACACCCCCTAGTACCTCTCTTATCTCCACGACTAACTCTTCTCACATTCATTCATCCCAGTGCACAGCTAATGCAGAGGATAGGAGTTCGCGAAACGTCGTTCCTGGTCTCCTTAAACCTCGCTCTAGACTACATGTTGGAGCATTTAATGTACGGACATTGTGTCAAATAGGGCAACAGGCTTACTTAGCTCGGACTTTAGAATCTCGTGCCATCGATGTATGCTGCGTCTCGGAAACGCGCATACAGGATCCGAGTCGCGTCATACACTTGGCCGCACCATGTCAAAATAAAGAAGCAGCTCGATTTACTCTTCGTGTATCCGGTAGCCCTGATGCTGCTTCCAGGGGTCTTGCTGGCGTAGGCATAGCATTGAGTCGTAGGGCAGAACAATCTCTCCTTGACTGGATCCCAATAGATAGTCGATTGTGCGCTGTCCGACTAAACGGGACAGTAAGGACTCGGAAAGATAGGGACAATCGCCGTTGCCTCTTCATCGTATCTGCCTATGCCCCCACTGACTGCAGTTCAGACGAGGTTAAGGATGAGTTTTACAGAAAGCTTTCGGACCTCCTCCAAAAAGCTAGGCGCTCTGATATAGTAATAATGGCTGGTGACTTCAATGCTCAAGTAGGTAGACTAAGTGAGCAGGAGAGACACCTAGGTGGATGTTATGGTGTCGCGGCTCAGAGAACAGACAATGGTGACCGTCTGTTGCAAGCATGCTCAGACAACCGCCTATTCTTAGCAAACACTAACTTTAGGCATAAGGAAAAGCATCTGTTGACCTGGCGACCTCCAAAGTCGTCTCAACGTTGGACTCAACTAGATCACATCGCCATCAGCCACCGATGGAGGGGTTCGATAGAGGACTGTCGCTCGTTCTGGGGCACATGTTTGGATTCAGATCATGCCCTCGTGCGAGCGCGTATTTGTTTGAAGCTTACTGGGCGTAGGAAAGACACCGTAACAAAGCCTCTTAGGGTTTTACTTAATGATAATAAGGCGAAAAAAACTCATCCCACCTGGCTCTGAGCATGATGAAGAACGAAGTCAACTTAGGCGCAGACTTATGAAAAGCCTACGTAACGATCGCGAACAGTGGTGGGTGGCGAAAGCAAAAGCGATGGAAAAGGCAGCGGCGATCGGCAACAGTAGACAACTTTTCAGACTTATCAAGGAAACTGGTATTAGGAATCCTAGTGTAAGTGAGACTATCTCAGAATATGACGGGACTATTATTTATTCTCAATCCAGGAGACTGGATCGATGGGCAGAACACTTTAGGGATCAGTTCAACCGGCCTCGAGCCACTCTTCGGTTACCCACGATCTCCAGTCATCCTGAATGGCAAATCGACCTAAGTCCCCCTAGTCTTAATGAAGTTGAAAAAGCGTTAGGAAATCTGAAGCGAGGACGAGCTGCGGGTCGAGATAGACTGACCCCTGAGATATTTAAGGATGGTGGTCAAGTTTTAGCAGCTAGATTGACTGAGATCTTAGGTAGAATCTGGGAACTGGACGTAATCCCATCCGACTGGTCTCAATCACTGATTGTCCCAATCTATAAGAAAGGACAGAAGTCTTCTTGTGACAATCACAGAGGAATAAGTCTAACTAATATAGTATCTAAAATATTGGCAACAGTAATACTTCGACGCTTAACGAAAGCTCGTGAAGAGCAAACTCGAGAAAACCAATCTGGTTTTCGACCTGGACGTGGCTGTATAGACCACATCTTCACACTACGACAGGTCCTGGAACACAGACACACATTTAAGCGTCCTACAATAGTTGTTTTCCTGGACCTTAAGGCGGCATTTGACTCTGTGGATCGTGAGGTTCTGTGGCAGTGTCTGTCATTGAAAGGTGTACCAAATAAGTACATTAACCTCATACAAGCTCTCTACTCAAACACCACTGGTCGAGTGAGAGCTTATGGCGAACTGTCATCGGAATTCTCTACTTCAAGTGGTGTCCGTCAGGGCTGTCCACTTTCTCCATTCTTGTTTAATTTTATCATAGACATGCTCCTAGAAATAACCTTATCCTCGTCTGAATTTTCTGGAGTAGACCTTTTACCGGGTGGCTCGCTTATTGACTTAGAATATGCCGATGACATTGTCCTACTTGTTGAAGACGCTGAAAAAATGCAGAGTCTTCTGACTACCCTAAGCAACAATGCAAGCATGTTCGGGATGCGGTTTTCCCCGTAGAAATGCAAAATGTTGCTTCAAGATTGGGTGTCATCGGCACCTGAACTAGTGATAGGGAGTGAAGTGGTCGAACGTGTAGACTGCTTCACTTATCTTGGGAGTCTCATCAGTGCTGATGGCCTGGTGACTGACGAAATCTCGGCACGGATACAGAAGGCTCGATTGGCTTTTGCCAACCTGCGTCACTTATGGCGTAGGCGAGATATCCGTTTGCTGACTAAAGGACGAGTGTACTGCGCAGTGGTTCGCTCCGTCTTACTTTATGGCTGTGAAACATGGCCAATGAGAGTAGAAGATACTCGTCGGTAATTGGTTTTCGATCATAGGTGTCTTCGAAGCATTGCTCGTATATCGTGGGACAACCGAGTGAGTAACGCTGTTATTAGGAATCGGGTGCTAGCTAAGAATGGCAGATCAATAGATGAAGTGGTGAAACTTCATCAGTTGAGGTGGTTGGGACACATGTTGCGTATGCCTAACCACCGACTGCCTCGTCGAGCTTTGTTTTGTGGTGTAGGAATAGGTTGGAAGAAAGCTAGGGGCGGCCAAACCAAAACATGGCATAAATCCATGAAGTCATTGACGAGTGGACTTAGCCATGTTGGTAATTGTCGACTACCTGGTTGGGGTCCGCGAGATGATAATAATCGATGGCTAGAGACCTTGAATGACATGGCTCAAAATCGTTGGCAATGGCGCCGGTGCATTTATTCTTTGTGTTCTCTCAAATCCTAATCTTCTGGGTTCTTCAACACCTCTAGCTTTTACTTTCTAAACTTATCTCATTGAATCATACTTCGTGAATAATATCTTCTAATTCTAACCTCTCCGATTACTTCTAATACCTTTACTACCTCTTCTACTATTGGATTTGAATTGACAATTATATCTCTGTGCTGATGTGGTATGGCGACATGAACTGATGTACTTACGTACGAAGTTCTACGTTGCAACTGACTGACTGACTTAGAATGACTCAACTTACAAGCGTTATCAAATTAGTTAACAGATATGGTGTTTCAAACAAGCGACAAACTGTTCAACCTAAAATAGTTGATTGTGAATTGTAGCTTTGTTGACATTACTGCATTGATCTTAGTCGTTTCACTAAAGGAATTCTACATGATTTATCTTTAGTGAAAGGCAGTTAAAATCTCCAATCTATAATTCGCCAAAAATATGTTCACAAAATGTTGCATAACACCACAACACTTTAATTAACTCTGTAAATTATCCAAGTGATAGACTTGCCTTTTTGTAGTAAAAGGAAATGTTCCCATTCGCAAATAGATAAGCATTAGCCTGAACTGAATGATATTTCAAAGTGATCATTAGGCAAGTTTATCGTTTGAACGAAAATTAATAAGTACCTATTATCATCATTGAATATAATGCTATACAGATGTTCTTGAAGCAATCATATTTCATCGGTAAAATTCGAAATGTTTTGCATCTATATGCGCGTTATGATTACATTTAAGTGATAGATAGATTTACAATACATTCTTCTGATTGATTTCTCAATTCGTATAGGATTTCTACGAGGCAGTAAGATTTATAATTTACACTTTTTATCGTTTCCTTGAAACAATCGACCAGTACTGCACAACATAGATTTCGCATATATCAATTCGAGTTCTGAAGTTGTACTTCATTGAATGTTAAAGTAAGATTTTTTTTAGATATAGCCAAATTCTTCATTTTCTTGCCGTGTAGCTGAGTCAGAGTACGAGGTATGCGAAGACGGCAGATTTGTTTGTTTATTATGAGTGAATGAACACTTCACGAAGCTATGTTACACAATTCAAAATATAACTTAGTGAAAGGGTAATGTAGGGATTACAAAGAATATTTAATGCGAAATCATCACGTAATAAGTGAAATCCAATGTTCGCATCACGTCCCACTTGTCATTCATCGTGAAACGTCTCACACACATGTAATTTTAAAGTTGAAACTATTGATTATTTAGAAAAAGTCGATATGATTGCAATGATTGATTGAATAAATAGATTGTTGGGAGATTTTTTTTCAAAAAAAATCTGAACGATCAAATTACAAACAATTAACTAACTTGTTTTATCTCTGGATAACCAATTGAAAGCAACTAAGTTATCTGAAATAATGAAAGTAGATTGAATACATCCGATCCATGAAAGAATGAGTCATGCAAAAGTCTATTGCTTTCATTTCAACATTCAAAGGATTGATTGCAGTGATTATTGTATACATGGATATTATGGACGATTGTAATGTTCAATCTGTCAAGTGAATAAACCGAGAATAATCTTCCGTTCCTGTTAATTCGATTCTAGAATATTCAATGTGACTCATTGTCCACTAACATCACCCCAATAATGTTTGTCAAATTGTTTTCAAAGAAGTGTCAGCAGCACGTATCCATTGAAGCGAAATTCACTAACTTACCAATTTTTGGACTACAGACAGTTACCAGATTTTATATGGTATTTCAGTATTTCCGAATAAACTGACAGATGTGTAAAAATCCGTTCTCATCTCTAATGAGTGACTGAGTTAGATAGATTAAAACTAATAACTTCTGATTTGGAAGGCTATCAAGGTACATTGATCTACGTGATTTCAAAGTAGTATCT